TCTATGTTTTAATTTGCAGATGACGAAATCGATATTTGTTCCAATGTAAACTATATTTAAAGATCTAATTACAACATTGGTAAGATAACCTTTACTAATAAGTTTGTGTAAAGGTTCGATGAGTTTTACACGGATCACATAGTGATATCCGCGCTTTTAGTACAATATTACCGTACAATTTAGGATGTGAAATACCGTTTTAAATAAGTTTTCTACAGGTACAGCCAAATGTACTAATCAAATCTTTGTATCTATGAAAGAATTTAGTAAAAGTTTTAAGTAATTTATGGTAACGAAATCCCTGACTGAATAATTTAACGGTGATGCATTGATTACGTTCGTTAAAATCTATGACATCACTACACACACGGGCATAACGAACGAGTTGGGATATATAAACACCGTATGATGGAGCCAAAGGAACATCGCCGTCTATAAAAGGAAAATTAATAATATGTTGATATTCCTGTGCTTAAATGCCTTCTGTACTTTAGGAAATTAGTTAAGAATGCCAGAGATTTAAATTGATTCACAAGTTTCGTAGAAAAAGAGTCATTTAGATATACAAGGAGGAATCAAATTCAAATTGATAGGATGATGTAATTTATAGAGCTTTTCAATTGAGATACAATCCATATAAACTTATTGCTCATTCTAATAAGCTTATTGAAAGGTTATTAATTGAAAATTGTAGTAATATCTTTAAATATTGTCTTTACGCAAATATTTTATTTTTAAAAGTTTAATACATAACTTGGCATGTATATAATTTCTTTCCAGTAACTAACATGTACTGTCCTATATAATCCTGTCCTTTCTTATACATGTACATTCGTCATTATAGAAGATTACGTATTTTTCATCTCAGACTGCTTCTGGCGTTTTTGCACTAGTAGAGATGTACTGATCGATAGTTTAGTCTAGACAAAAATGGTTTGTTCATTAGTAGAAATTTGGTCTTAACTAGCTTTTAATAACCATATTTTGTGTGCCTATCCCATACAGGAGTCTGTCCAGTGTTTGTCGTTGGTTGTTGCGTGTCATAGTTTTTTCCGTTTGTTGTAGACCATCGATTTTCTGTTTTGAATTGTTTAACATTTTTGTCATCACAGGACCTTTTATAACCTACCTGAATGTCCCGTATAGGTTTTCCATGGTGTGTTATATTTTAACGACACTTGGTCGAAATGGACAACAGTTGGTGGATTGTTTTAACCCAGTCCTCAACTTTTTGAATTAAAACTCATTCTATACAATGTCCTTGTATCGCCTTACTTTATCTTCATGTATATATCATTCAATAAAAAAAATATGAAGATGAAAGAAACTCTGATACTTTATTGTATTTTGCTCGCAATTGCCTTTGGAATGCATCACTATAAACGTATAATACATATTGGACAAAATTGTAAAACAAAAACGCCAACAAAATACATCACATTAATTCCATTTCAATATACTTTTCAGAGGTAAAAAATATTAATATTATTAAAGAAAAAAATTAAAAGCAGTAGGAAGGAAATAACTATTCGAACTAGGTATTACACTGCGTTTTTAATAGTTAATGGTTCAATATTGCAAATCATCAGAAAGTTTTAAACGCATTGTTTAATGAATGAGGATAGTGGCGTGTTTAAAAGTAGTTGAGTGGTATGTTCTTTTACAATTGCTTACATCCACGTCATTTGAACTCTGGTAGATAGTTGTGTCACTGGCAATACTACCACATATCCTAGTTTGTATATACTTTACACGTGGCATATTCTGTTTTGAAGTCGCTGTCGTCCTTCAGTACTACATATGTATTTTGTAAAACTTCATTCTCCTCAACTAGGCTTGACTTTTACAAAAATGTATTTTATATAAATTGCCAAAACTGTCCAGGCTGAGTTTTCATTTTTTTTTTAAATAACGGGGAGTATTAATTTCAAATCTTAACCAACCTTTTTGTTTCGCTTCGACGAAGTTGAAAAAGCGAAACTTAGGTATTATGTTTCCAGCGGCGGCGTTAGCAATTGTGATAAGGTCAATCTATGGGGAACAACTAGTGGTAGGTCAATGATGTTTAGAATACAGTTGTATTAGCATTGGCACATCTTAATTTCTATGGAGATAATTTGGCCACGCCCCTCAGTCACAGTCTTTTTGCTTTGAAACTTTTGCTTAGTGTACATGTATTACAATTAACCTCCCAAATTCACATGTATCTTAACCTATGTGCAAACACTATGTAGATTTCACTGTGTAAAAATGTATTTCACTGTGTTAAAAATGTAATTGAAAAAAAAAAAAAAAATCTGGAGGCTATTTAAGAAACAATTTATGCAAGCCATATATTTATTGGAAGTATTTAGCTTTATCTTACAGAGGGTAAAATAGAACATCATCACATACTGCAGCTGCCCATTTGTCTTCGCTTCAGTTTTTGTTTGTTGAATTACCGTATTTGTCCTATTAGAATCGAAATAATGCATACTAGCCATAATCTTTTTACATGGCCTGAGCCGTTAGCGAGGAATATAATTGACGAATAAAACGGCCCAAGCAATGTGAAAATTTCCAACAAATATTTGACTGGCATGATTTTTTTTCTTAAATAATCTTAAAATATATATTAAACAATTGCTCTTATAATGTGTTATGTTTTTTGCTCAATTTGGGGATATAATACATGACTATCATTGAAAACCCTCCTTCTGTAAAGCAAATGCGTAATGCGCTAACAGTTTATAAAATTTTATCTCGAGATCGGTTCAATACCTAGGAAGTAATGGCAATATTCCCTGTACTAATTTTGTTTTAATTCTAAGGGTCAAAATCAGAAAGTTTATGTTGCCTATCAGACCTTTTAAACAACTCTCGACACCGACTATTGACACCTACAGTATACAGGAGAAATAGAGGGGTCGTACATGTATCAAAAATAAAAATCATTCATGTATAACATGCATGTAACATATACATACATTCTAGTATTCGATTTGAACGGTATTATTTTGAAAAAGAACGGATATTGAGCAAATAGCTATTAATTGTGGATTTTCTGTGGTTTTTTCCATTTCTATCATATAATACATATTATATGTAAACATTTATTTTTAAACCATTTCTCTATCAATAGACAAAAAAATCGGCAATCTATTCACATCCGAATCCATTGTTTCTTCGGTAATATGATTATTAATATTCGAGTTTTCCTTGGAAGAACGCACCGTTTGTCAATAGCCGTTAACTCGTTTTTGAAATGTTTTTTTATGACTCTACATTTTATCAGCCCCATATTATCAAAGTTACGGAGAGGACATTGTAACGTGACTAGCTGTCTGTCAGTAACGTGTCCAAAACACACTTGTGGACATTGTAGAGGTTGCGTTTCTCAACAATCTTCATTATACCTGTTGTGCATATTGAATATAATTGACTGTTATAAGTTGTCCCTTTGTTATTGATACATTTTCTCAGTTCCAGGCCATAACCTTTACGAGAAACACGTCTAGTGTCTTGTCAGAAGCTAGAACTGCTTTCCCTGTCGGAGCACTTGCGTTGATCCCAGTTTAACGGAGTCATTTTTTTTTCTCATTAAACTTTGGTTTTCTCTGAGACAATTGCCCTTTTCTCTTGTCACTAGATGTGTTTTTGTTTCTGGATTTTCCTTTTTGTTGATCTACGCTTCGATTTCCTACTCTTATCTAGTTTTACTATGCGTCCCAATGGTCTTTTTTTATTTTGCCTTTGATCAAACATAGGGGAGGTTTTGGATCCAATTATATATATAAAACCCCCGCCGCACATGTTATGCGCCTGTTCCAACCCCGGAATATGTTGGTCAATGGTATATTCTTTTCTCGGAAGTTTCCATTTTACAATATTATGCGGCTGCGGCATTGAATTTGATCACTTTTTTTTGTCGGATCTGGTTGCTTGGTAATGATTACCCGGCAGTCTTCAAGATCACGTGGTAACTGTAAATTCTGTTTTATGTGTTGCATTGTGTGATTTTATGCTTTATTCGTGCCGTAATCCTTGTCCGTGCCACCCTTTTCTCGTTATTGTCAAAATCTGTTTTGTGCTATTGGAACTAAAAACAAAATATGAAATAGGACATTCGCGTTATCTAAATGTTCTGTATAAATTGTCATTGAATGCAGATTTAAATTGAACATAGCATGAGTGAATTAAAAAAAACTACTAAGTATAAAGTACATTACGAAGGAATATGAGGCCAAAAATAACGGACTTTGTATAGACATGTGCTGCCCTTGTCAATTAATAGACATAAAACAATTGTCTGTTTAAATATTTACTACTTATTTTTTTCATTTTGCTAATTTAAAGTAGCTTGAAGCTCATCTTTCAAATATGTTGATGGGAACATTAAAGATCTCCCTTGAATTCATTCACGAGGGTCTGGGAGGGGGTCCCTCAATTCTGTATTCTCTTACTTTAAGCCATTTTCTCTATTTTTCATTTATTTTGCCCATTATTCTGTCTTCTTTATAATTAAGCATCCCATTGTTCTCTATTCTTTTTTTTTTGCCTATTTCTCTCTATTCTTTCTTTTTTTTTTGCCCATGATTCTGTAGTATATCCATTTATGTCCATTCTGTAAACCCCATCCAGACCCTCATTCATGCTAAATTCAAAAATAAAATTAAAGAATTGAAGTCAGTAAATGGTTTACAACCAAAACAAGAAAAATATCGTTGTGGTAAATACATATAGGCAAAACAAAAATTCTCTTCAATTCAGTTACTGGTTACCATTATTTACAACAATTACAACTTTAAGACGACCACTTACATCTTACCTGTAGTAGTCGTTGTCAACTGTAGGTGCAGACAATTGTTGAAAAGGTCTATTATAATTGGATTTTTTTAGAGCTTAATACTTTACTTGACTAGTGACAATTTAACATGTATGCATATGCATGCATAACATAAAAATGCTAATCATTGCTGTACACTACCGTTAAAGTCTGTTTTCAGAAAAGTATCATAATATTAAAAGAAAACATAAAAGCTTTAATTCTATAAAATGTGCAACAATAACACTAGTGTAAGTTAATACAAATTATAATATTGAAGGGAATAACAACCATTTTTACAAGCTACACTTTCTATATACTATATCCCTATGTTTGTCCTGTCGAGTATTTTACAATCTACATATGCATGACTTGATCCGCTGTTCTTTTCTCTGTATGTCTATACAGGGTTTGAACCACCTGTTGCAGAGTTGACAGCACTGTCGTATGAAGGCGGTGGAGCTGTACATTCGTCATATGTAGGCGGAAGTACAGGTTCACTGTTTTGTTCACGGTTACGGCGAATGTTTATTCGCGCTGTAAAACACAAACAAAATATGCGTTAAAGATAATAACTTAACTTCAAAGTGTTAGAATCAATAAATCTTTAATTTAAACAATTTAGCGGTGATATGATGTAATATGATTGCTTTGGACCAGATATACAAACCTCCATCTCAATAACCAAGACATTATGCTCCAGCCCTTGTATTTGTGCCTTGTATAGTTTCAGAGGAGAATTAAGCGATAACAAGCGATCTTTTTTTCAAGATCAAAATTAAGAACGTGGATTTGACCTCAATTTCAAAATCATAGGCCATGGATCTCAAATATTTTTTTTTTAAACTTACGGTTTATAAAGTTCACCAAAATATCGCTTAGTAAAATAGCGATGATGGAGAAAACATCCATAACATGTCACCGGATCGCTTTTGTCTAAACTGATCGAACCATTCTGATGATATTGCAGCATTTAACAGGTATCTCCACTGGAACATTGTATAATAATGAAACCAGATATAATGAATTCGACCAACCAATATTATATAATAAAATATCTAAAAGGTATGAAATAGTTGCTTCGATATTTTTGTAACTTTAATAAATACTAAATTCCATGTTTGCATCATCATTATTAGGCCTGGATTTTGTAGCTGCAATATGCTTACCCCCTCAACATGTACATATACTTACTATACTTACAGTCAAGCTGACCGTATCACTTGCATAGTAATCTCATGTTTTAAAATCGAAGATAACTTGAAATTAGGAGGATTCTGATCCTTTTTGTACAAAGGTTGACTGTGCTCGATTAACACGAAGTATTTGATAATTGAAAAATGTGTGTTGCATTCTATAAGTACTTGCCTATTAAAAACCGTATATAAACAAAACGTTCAGATGTCCTGCTATCGTCTGGTTGATTTCTCTCATTTAAATCACGTGTGTTTTGTTCATTAGTAGATCGTGTATGCCCCGGTCTTTCTTCCCTCAAACTGACATATGGTATGTCTTTATTGTTTTGTAAAACTTTCCTCGTCCACGCACATAGACAACACATCAAACATAAACCAAACGCACTAGCAATAATTATTCCAATAATTACTCCGGGAGATCTAAAAATAGAATAATAGTTGTATGACTTGCAATAGAATATTTTCACATAACCGAGCAACTAAGAGAAGTACAATCGGTGCAATTTTGGGAAACAATTAACAGTTCTTCGCTTCTATTGTAGATCGAAACACAAATGATAATAAAAGAGAAATAAAAAATAAAAAAATATATGGGATTTGATAGTTATTGTCTTGACGCCTGACACCTGTCCCGACATTCTAGAACATTAATCGTACCCGTAGCCTCTTAATATCAAATAAAAAAAACATTCTAGTATTTTATTTAGTATGTTTTCAAACAACTGCCTCTGCATTCCTTATAACATTTGTCATTTGTCGCTTATCAAACCGAGAATTATTCAAAACTATCCAAATGCGAAGTGTAATGTTTTGTAATCTCAGATCAGAATCGTGTCATTGTCACAATTATTCAGATTTTTTATGAAATTTCGGATGCATTTAGAAGTAGTTAAACTGTATCTGAGTATCGAAAATCGGTATATGTAGCATTAATATAGAGACTCTAGAGGTTCAATGTTTTGTTTTATTTACTTATCATTTCGACATACTTGATGTATATATTTTCAACTTTTTTTTATCTTTAGTGTCTCTTCTGCATTGAATATTCTATATGCAATTCTTTGTCTGTTATTTACAATCAGTTGTGATGTCTACATGGTTTCAGATCTTTAAGGGGCAGAAAATGGCACTTTAAAAAGAAATGAATTTAAGTTTCAATGGTCAAACAAACACTAGTTCTCTACCATAACGTAATCGTCAAACGCATTCTATTAGCTTAAAATCGGGATTTCTCAAACTACCTTTAACAGAACTTTGTTTAAAAATGATATGTTACCGCTGTGCGCATTTCCGTTTTAATGGTATGAAACATTAGCAATCTCCAGACTTTGCTCTGCAGTCTTTATCATTATAATTTGTTTGATGTATGAAAAAAACACGGAAAATTACGATATTGCAGCGTGCTGCCGTCGTGACATTACGCTTATTTTGTTCCCCGCCTTTTTCATTCTACATATTACCGAGACTATAATTTAATTTTCTTGAAAAATAAGCCGTGAATCAAAAAAATTCTGTGGACGTAATCTCGAGAAATTGAAATTCAATAAAATGTGTTTTAATGATGTACATTACTAGTGTATTAAAATTCCTTTTCATGGATTTCGATTGAATGTTTTTATAAAAATATATGAATTGTATATATTTCACTTTTTAGATTTTCAGATGGTTCAACGATTTCCAAATGCGTTTAAAATTTCATAGAATTCCGAAATACTGCCCCATTACATGTACTTTGCCTTAATTTTGAATTAATAGTGTTTACAGTTGTAACCTAGTTCCTATTTGGATACATTTGTTATCCATAGAGGACTTAAGTCTGAAAACAGTTATCTTGTGGTAGATCATGTCCAAGCTAGAATACTATATCAAGCTACATCTTTTCTAATGAAACAAGAAAATGCAGAGGAATAATTAAATATAGTGCTAGTAGTGCTATCACAAATAAGATCAAAATTAAAACTTTAACAAATCATAATTATAAGATAACAATGTACCTATTTTCACCAAACTTAAAAAAAAAACAAATATTAAAATGTGAATTTGATATCAAAAATCAAAATTATCATCTATGTATAGAATGCACTTTTAATTTTGAGGTTTCAAAATGTTTTTTTTTTAAACCAAGTTGAAATATCTTCGGAAAATACAAAAGGTATGATAAAGCATGAAAAATGTTCAGCTTCTGGGGGGTTTAGGTGGCCCAGACGCCTGCCTATCAATGCCTCCTATTAAACAGGTTATAATTTACGGCCCTGATTGTATATATCAATCTCCTTGACTTACAAACTTGTTTCTTCAGGACAGCAATAGAAAGTCCTAGTGGTTTCCTCGTCATAGCAACATCCATTCTCACATAAATCGTCTCCACAGTATAATGCAGAATTGACGCCTAAAATTTGGAAATAAAACTACTCATTCCTTACAATGCATCTTGATTATTAATATGATATAAAAATAAGAAGATGTGCCATAAATGCCAATGAGAGAACTCTTCACCAGAGACCAAAGTACATAGAAGTTTACAACTATAGGTCACCGTATGACCTTCAACAATAATCAAAACCCATACTGCATAGCCAGCTATAAAAGGCCCCAAAAATGACAAATGTAAAACAATTCAAACGTGAAAACTAACGGCCTGATTTATGTAAAAAACAATGAACGAAATACAAATATGATATTCAGCAACAAACTACAACCACTCTGTCTAAATGACAGGCTCCTGACTTTGGACAGGCACATACAGAATGTTGCGGGGTTAAACATGTTAGCGGTCGCCCAATTCTCCCCCTAACCTGGTGTAACAGTACAACATATGAACATAGTATTACTATAAAAATTTGTTGAAAAGGGCGTAACTCATCAGATAGATACAAAGCAGAAAAACAAGTAACACAGACCAGACGTGGCAGGGTATTTATACATCCCTACAACAAAACCGCCACTAAATGCAGATCTGAGAGTACTCGCAGTTACTGACAGCTAGTTCAAAGCCAATAACAACTACTGAAAAATCATTTTTCTATGACTAAAGTATCAATCAATACACATCCAACATCCAATGGATTTAGTGTAAAGACGTCATTAACAGTCAGAGAAAAACATGACCTTGTGTATGTATTTAAAAGTATATACTTGTGGTTGGTAATGACTTATAACTTATAACCAATTGTATGTCTGAAATATAATTTATCTTTGCATTTGCTAACAGACTTACTTCCAGTCCTAACGTATAGAGGACTTTTGTCAACATTTATTGATCAGTAAAGTATACTTTACAGGAAATAATAGTACCTGAAATCTATAGAAATGGAAAACTCGTTTTAATTTTCTATCTATAAGTATCTGAAGTTCATAATCTATTACACTGACAACTTTTTTCAAAATAAAATATGTTAGTTTCAATGTTGAAAAAAGTGTTAACCTTAATCTCAACGCTTCGCAATAGCACGGTAAAATGTAATTCTGCGAAGTTTATGTTTTTTTATTTTTTTAAACCAGGAACGAGGATATCAATTTCAGGTACGTTCCATTAACCTGTTGATTTCCGGGTAAACATTCAATATTAGGTACAATTTTGTTCTCACGTTTGAGAAAATTCTTACGTCTTCCTCTCAAGAAAGAGAAAATCAGAATGCATATTCCGACACAGACTGACCTTATATAAGGTGTACTAGCATGAAAATATTTCGAAAATCGAGAATTCACAGTTAGATGATCCCGTCTTTAATTTTTTCTCTTAGGGATTGTTTCACATGGATTATTATTAAATGATACAAATGCTGCATGGCAATTAAACAATAGAAAACTCCCCAAACCACACAATTATGATGATGAATCGAAATGAAACCTCGATCAGCGTGTATTGTATAGTGCATTTTCATCTAGTAAAAAAGGATTAAGGAGAATTAGCACTCGTAAGGGTTTATATAACAAATTGATACATACCTTTGATATAAATCAAAACAACAATGTAATATATTGTACATATATTATACGCCATTTTTTAGTTATTTAAACGTGACGCAGATACATTGAAAATAATAAAATAACTTCCTGCTTGGGTAAAAAAAAATGTTTACTTCAAATAAATTGTTCTCCTCTTACAATATATAATATGTCACATGACTAAATAGCCAAGCTTGATCATTGACTGCGCAACCTCCATTTGCTCTATTTTTGTTTTTTCTTTTTGCAGGTTGTCGCTTATTCTGGAGCATTCCATATATTTATATTGTTCCACATTCTAAAAGGTTTTATTAAGGTAACATTTTAAGTTTTTTTTTAATCATCATTCATATTCAATGATTTATATGTCGAATCCTTTGAAATTTTTACTTAATTTTTTAAATTGTCTCATTAAACAGAGTTTTTTCTACAAAAATGGGAATCGTAGATCCAAATTCATTAATTCTTTAAGGTCATGAAAAAATCTTAGTTTGTGAACAACCGCAATTATTCCACCAACATATAAACCAACGAAGGTGACAACATTTAGATGATGGACTTAATATTGGACGACATATTTGTTAATTTTTGTAGACATACATGTAACATACAGTCGGTATTCTTAAGAGTTCTTAGTGTGCATCCCTACTGACCGACTTGTTTTTGTACTCATGTTAATCACATTTCACACATAACCTTCTGTAGAATGAAAAGGAAATCATCTTGCAAAGTTCATTAATTTCACTTTCAGATATATTCATGATGTTCTGTCACCCAATAACCCGCCTTTCACTGAGTGTTCGCAACTCATGCATCCAGCTTGACCAAAATTAAATTTTATTAACCTAAAAAAGGGAGTTTACCGTATTATGCTATCATATCTATCCATGAGAACATTTATTAGTCCAAATTAAGCTTAAAGATATCTTTCAGAAGCTGTGAGTTCTTTTAGCCTAGTACTTTGAGTCTTTTATCCTTTGAATATTTGATATTGAGCTAAGTACTGATATGACCAGTCCTGTCCTTTCCAACTGATTTTTACAGTTTGCTTTTAAGATGAGGTTTTCGCTTTCACAAACATAATTTTTATGTCGGGGCCTTTTATAGCCGACTATACGTTATGGTTTTTTTCATTGTTGAAGGCCGTAAGGTTGCCTAAAATTGCTTACATCCATTTTATTTGATCTTTGGTGGATAGTTGTCTCATTGGCTTTAGTCCCTCGTCTCCTTATTTTTATATACATGTATATGTTATCACTCCTTTAAATAAACATATTCTGAAAGGTTACCAATTTATCGGTATAAATATTGATTTTTTTGTCAATGAATAAAAACACAACTAAATACTATTGATATTCACATATGTAAATCCATGGTCCTATATTTTGTATATACCCATATTTTAGCATTGCACAGGGTCATTTTTTTCCTCTGACTGTTAATGACGTATTTATACTAAATCCATTGGATGTAGGATACTTACTGATTGATATCTTATTCTTAGATACCCGACCTTTTTATTAGTTATTATTGGCTTCGAACTAGCTTTCAGTTTTTTTCAGTACTTTGTGTCTTTTGTGATTTTGTTAGTTGTTGTTGTGCATCGTATCGATCTGATGAGCAATGCTCTTTTCAATTGATTATTATAAAATTGAGAATGGAAATGGGGAATATGTCAAAGAGACAACAACCCGACCAAAGAGCACACAACAGCCGAAGGCCATCAATAGGTCTTCAACACAGCGAGAAAATCCCGCACCCGGAGGTGGTCCTCAGCTGGCCCCTAAACAAAATTGTGTACTAGTTCAGTGAAAATGGACGTCACTCTAAACTCCAAAACATATAAAAGAACTACAATTTAAAAACATACAAGACTAACAAAGACCAGAGGCTCTTGACTTGGGACAGGCGCAAAAATGCGGCGGGGTTTAACATGTTTTGTGAGATCTCAACCCCCCCCCTACCTCTATAGCCAATGTAGAATAAAAAAACACATAAAAATACTCACAGTAAAACTCAGTTTAAAAGAAGTCCGAGTCCGATGTCAGAGTAGGTAACAAAAGAAACTAAGTAAAATGACAATGATACATAAATGAACAAAGGACTACTAGCAGTTACTGACATGCCAGCTCCAGACCTCAATTAAACTGATTGAAAGATTATAACTTCATCATATGAAAATCAAGTACAATCCCTCTCGTTAGGTGTTTAGTACCATACCATCATAAAATATATGAGAAGAACATAACCCGTATCATGCCAACAACTGGTTTTAGAATACATGTGTTTATTTCCGATACAAAGACCCTATGAGTGAATCAATACTAATACCAAAATCTGCAATCCTTAATGACTTGACAACAGTATCGTAACTATATCCTTTCCGAATAAGTCTGTTTAAAGGTTTGGTTAGCTTTTGAGGTGAATGCCGACATTTTTGTGCTTTGTAAAGAATATTACCATAAAATATTGGATGTGAAATACCTGAACGTATAAGATGTCTGCATGTTGATTTCTATTTACGAATGATGTCCTTGTACCGATGATAAAATTTAGTAAATGTTTTGACCAGTTTGCGATATCGAAAACCCTGGTGAAATAATTTTTCAGTATTACAGAGATTTGTTTCGTTGAAATCAAATACGTTGTTACATACTCGAGCGAATCGAACAAGTTGAGATATATAAACACCATAAGATGGCGACAAGAGAACGTCTGCATCTAAAAATGGATAATATAGTTTGTTTTATGTTGTACTGTTACACCACTCTCCCAGGTTAGAGTGAGGTTTGGGGGCCCAGAAACACAAACTCGCCATATTCTGTATGTGCCTATCACAAGCCAGTATTTCAGTTATTGTGTGTTTTGATGAATATCATATTTGTTTTTCATTTATTAGTTTACACATATATTAGACATTAAGTATTTTTCGTTTGAATTGTTTTACATTTGTCATTTGGGAGCCTCTTATAGCTTGGTATACGTTTTGGGTATTGCTCATTGTTGAAGGCCGTAAGATGATATGAGAAGAAGGTACGGAGATTTTTTTCATAGAAATACCTCCACTTTTATACAGTCAATAATTGCTTGTTTGATTCAAAACAAAGGTAAACAAAAGTAACACTTGTTATTTCAATAATTATCAATGTATACATTCGTCTAGTAAGTTCACAATATTTAGTAATATTTTAAAATAACAATACATACTAAATTATACATACAAAAATATTTGGAAAACATTACGAAACTTATTATTTTTTTTTAAATAAATAAAGAATATTAATGAATGTTTTTTACATGTGCGTTTATCCTTCATCAACTATGTACATGCGTTCATAAAACTTTCACTTCCTTTCACGTTGTCATGAGCAAGGTTGTCGTAGCTTGGTGGATAGGCTGTAGTTCCATTATTTGGTGGATAAACTGTGTTTCCAGTACTTGGTGGATAAGCCGTATTTCCATTATTTGGTGGGATAACATTTAGTTGTTCAGTGCTGCCCATAATATTAACATTACTTCCAAATGTTGGCTGGAAAGCAGTTTGGGGGTCTAAAAATATGACAATTAATAATTAAAACCTGGTATATAGTATATCCTGAATTGCTTTATACGTTAAAAGCTACATGATAGATAATAAAACACGAATACAATACGAGTTCACAACTTTTCTTACGATCTACTATTATCTGAACAACGTAGACTTCGAGAAACTGAAGAAGTTGGTTACAGATTCGGTGTTTTTTGCATACTTCTTTTTAAACCTACGCGTTTCATTTTCATATATCTAAAACTGGTTAAATATTTGGTCAGTAGAAAAATAAGATCTTTGGATGTTCTGTGTTTGATTGTATTACCAGCTTTATTTAACATCCTCTTCCTGTGGTCTCTGGTGATAGTCGCCCTATTGGCAATCACTCCACACACCCTTATTATTATTTTTTTTATATTAGCATGCTAGTTTAAAGTCTTTTGTGACCTCTAGTTGTATAATGCTTGTGCTGTTGGATTTTGTTTAAATGAGTACTAGGTTATTTTTGTTTTTTTCTTATTTGATACCTATTATGTCTGTTTGATTTGCTAACACATTATTGTCAATAAAATGGAATTCTATGAGACTGTCATATAAGTGAGAGGTTAAGCTAGCTATAAGGTTATTATAAGCTAGCTATAAAACTAGGTTTAAGTCACCATTTTTCCATAAGGAAATGCCTGTACCAAGTCAGGAATATGACAGTTGTTTTCCATTCGTTTGATGTGTTTGAGCTTTTGATTTTGCCATTTGATGACTTCCAGTTATGAATTTTGTTTGGGGTTTGTTTTTTTTTTGTTATTTAACTTTTGATAAGTACAATCTGTATATTCATGAAATCCATTCACAACAGACTTAAGGCGAAGTGTACGTAATTGCACGCCTCTAGCGGAATTCAGGATAAAAAACGTGCGTCGTTAGTTACGCGGGTTATCTCCCCTACTCCAAGAAAGGAAAAATGGGCACATGAAAGAGAAATGACTTTGTGCGGTCTATCATGAATTCAAACAAGTATTCATGTGCTATCTCAAAACTTAGAAAACAAAAGACAAAAACAAAGAAATTATTAGAATGACTCCGATCAGAAATCTGAGTATCCTATTGTGAGTTAGTCTGACTCTATTACCACTGTATTTGTTTTAGACACGCAAGAGCAGGTACACAATACGACTCGTGTTTATTTCAACAGAAGGTAAAAACGCCTAAACAACAAAATTATAACCAAATAAAAAATAAACCAGTGACAATTCTGCTTCTATTCGTATCAAATTCATTAAAATCAAACCAGAATTGACCCCACAATATTTTTTGAAAAACCATAGTTTTGAATGAAATGCACAGTGTACTGTAGGATCCTGTAGCGTAAAATTGTAGGTAACGAATAATTATATTGCATGTGAATTTGTGTCTTGAACAAGAAAGACGTTGGCATGTCCGTTTTTATGCAATTGAAAATTTTATGATGTTTTATATTTTATTATTTATGTAAAAAGTATAAAAGATACTAAGGGGTAATCGACCACTAGTACAACATTTATAAGCCGAAGAAAAAGCCAACAGCAAAAAAAAAAAAGCCATCAGATTCCGTCACAAAACATTACACACTCAGAAACTAAGAATTGTTCACTATTACATTTATCTCAGAATAAGTAAAACCTATGTCATCCAAATCTCAGTTTTCAAGGTGCAGAAAATAAACAGGTGTCTTCTATTCCGTCCGCAATTTTTGGGGAAAGTAAAATCTAAATTTAGAATCATGGTTGGAACTGAAACTACACATGTATTATAAAAATAGAACGTGTTATTTTTTCTTAATCAAATTCCGATTTCGAAGGGATAGCGAAATTTGTTCTCTTTTGTTGTGCTTTTGTGTATCATTCAGCAGTAGTATAAGGTAGGGGAAGAAGGGGTAGGGGTGAAGAAAAATAGTTCTACAATGTCGGGGCTTTTTATAACCCGGCGACTATATACGGTATGGATTTTCTCATTGTTGAAGGCCGTATGATTGTCTATAACAATTGCTTACATCCACATCCTTTAAGGTAGCTGGGGTGTCTAAATGTTGGACGATAAATTTTTCTTAAACTTCTGTAAGACTTCTGTGTCAATGTAATTTTAAATTTCAATATAAAAACTGGGGATCACGGACCTTGTTTTTTTGTAATAACACATTGAAATTAACGAAATTTGGGTTATTTTGTATTGTTGATATAGGGGAAACTTAAGTTTTCCTTATTGCGGAAACATTAAACGATAGAATTGGCTAAGATTCGATGAGAGAATTGCTTTTCATTAATAACTCCGAAATATCAAATAAAAATAAGGGGTCACGGGCCTTATTTTCTTGAAAAAATCCCCAAAAATTTTAAATATACTTTACGACACTTAATTTCTTGATAGTTCAATCTTTAAACTTCAAGTTTTAGGTATTTTGTTGTATATTTAATGATACTTGGTAAAATATTTTTAAAACAAAAAAGTTTTTGCAATTAACATGATCAGAACGGACGCTCAGAAAAAGACACCCGATCTACCTTAAACGTGGCAGATAGTTGTCTCATTTGCAATCATACCACAGCTCCTTATGTTCATATTATATTAACAAAACTGCAATTCATTTGCATTATATACAGGAACAATTTGTATGGCACTATACTAGGTAAACTCGTATAGCATCCGGCTCTTGGTACATTCTTATAGCATTACACAAGTACATTTATAGCATATCACTATGCACAAAGCTTTAGCATTACACAATGCACAATGCTATAGCATTATACACAATATACACAATGCCAAGGCTAACACTGGGAATGATCTGTGCTACGTGAAGTTAAAACTCCGATCTGTTTTACTTTGCTAAAATTCATATGCGGGTTCTTCTTTTGACCTTATTACAGCCATAAAAATTCTCAAGATAATATGCAGATGCAGTTTTCTTATTTTTTGGGAGTCGTGCATGTGGATATTTAACAAATTATGGTACAAAAAATTATTTACTTTTTTACTTAAAATCTCCAGCAAACATTATATCATGCTTTGTCGTTTAGTTAAAGAAAAGGGAAAGCGATCGAGACAGGAAATTTTTTAAATAAAATTGCAGAGTTATGTCACGTGCACGCGTGTGAACCTGACAAAAAAATGGGCCGTTTGTGCGCAATCCCTCGAATAGCGCCGGAAATGGTGAGGATGAAAAGATGCAGCAAATATATTCACTTTTTTAAAATACAAACATGCAGAAATAAGATTTAAAAAAAGACGTGTATACGCGATCCCAATATTATAACCGATTATCTAAATACGTATAGAATCATTCTGTCAACGCTGTGTTAACTGGGACAATTTTAAAATTGATATTTGATTCATAATTATTAGAACAATACAATATAAAAAAAGAACATGTGGCATGAACGCCAAAAAGACAACTCTCCACAAGAGTCCAAATGACACAGAAATTAACAACTATAGGTAACCGTACGGCCTTCAACAATGATCAACGCCCATAGTCAGCTATAAATACAAGCATTTAAAAAAAGAAGTTGAACCCTGTCTAATTAAAAAAAGATGGAGTTTAAGTCTATATAGTAACTTTCATTCACTTGCAGTATATTTATTTGCCAATTTGCTTTTTTTTGGCAGCAGAAATATCTTTAAAAAATAGTCAGTTTATTTCCTTATTAATTGATTACGCTTGAGCATTTGCAATAATTAGGAAAATGGGTTATACACATTCACGATTTTGTTACGACACTGTACGGTATAATAGCGTTATAGAGTAGAAATTGTGATGACGTTATGTACAGTAGACATCAATAACGTCGCCGAATGTTTTTATTCTTTCCGCTAAAAATCAAACTTCCACAGGATATAGCTTGAAAACTAGCACGGTTGCTAAGGACTTTCTTTGCACCAATGGGTTCGTCGTTCATTTTTGAATCGCATATCGATTTTTAAAAAAAAACTGTGGAGCAACGAATTAGAAAATCTTGATAAAGTAAAAATATCTGCCGATTTTTATGATTTTCCCTATATATCCTTTGTATTTTTGGCGTATCATGCTGTTAATTTCAACAGCTTGTATCTGAAAAACGAAAACGGTTACCCCCTTTTTTTATTTTATTGTCTGATGTATTTTTACAAGCAGAATCCCCATGTAAAATTTAAAAAAATTCTGTGGAGTAGTTAATTACGTACACTTCGCCTTAATATAAAAACGTTTATCTTACTTGTTGATGGGGCAGTGCTTCCAGTAGTTGTTATGTATGCTACTGTCGGTTGAGATAGTACCTGACCTTGCGCACCCTGTCTCATTCTTCTGCAGATACAGGTGATGATTGAAATAAAAATAGACAAAGCAATGAGACTGCCGATAACTATCCCTATGGTCTCTGCTGTTGATCTATGTAACAAAGAAAAATAGTATGGTTCATGTGCATTATTCCTGTAGGATTAATGAATGAACAACTATGAAACATGTTCCTATATAAACACAAATAGCTCTGTTTACGCTTGTATGTTTTTAAATCTGAATCCATTACCATCAAAGGGAATGTTTTGTGGTGAGAACTTTTTTTAGGTGGGGGGAGGAGGGGTAAATAAATTAGTTTTAGGCGAAACAACTCTAATAAAAGGTCTTCTACGAGGAAAGCATGAAAACAAATGACAAACAATCTAACAGTCAAAAGTAATGAAATATATTGAAAAGAGCAATTAAAAATGATGAGTATTTTTTTTTACCGTAAAAGGTGAATTTTCAATTTTATATAACCATGATAATGTTCCCTTTTATGGCAGTTTTTTTTCACCTTTCCATTGGTTGATGGCATTTAATTTTGCCAGTTTTTATGGTTTTCTCCTTTTTGAATTTGCCTTGAAGTTCAGTATTTTTGTTACACTTTTTAGAATATATCTCTCTTAAATTATTAAATGTAACATACGGATAAAACATGTCAAGCTAGTATCATTGAATGTTTTATGTCAATCTTTTAAACTATCATGTATTTTTCATAAAACTTCAAACAATACACAATACAAAAAAGAAACTTATAGCTACACTACCAAGAATTACCTCACAATTGTCTTGTATTTTTCTATCATATTGTAAATAGCACTGAACGGCTATATGATAAAATTGTAATATTGTACTTTTGGTAATATCATTACTACTAAATGTAGTACTTATATCAGTACGGATTTTTCAATATTGTGACAAAACATTTTATTAACAAAAAAAAACGTACTGAGTATGAAGGTACTGAAGGAACTGTACAAATATGTATAAAATTCAACAATACTGAACTATCAATTTTATCATGTACCCGTTCTTTATTTCCTGTACTCATTTTAATATCCGGGATGTAAAATTGAAAAAAAGCTTTTTTCTCTATTTTTTGGGAAATTTCGAAAAATTTTATGCTTTTTAATTTTTGCACCCCAATTTTTTTTTTTTTTTTTTTTGATTTTGTAAAAATTCATTTTTTGTTGTTGTAATTTTTGCTTTTTATTTATTTTGGAATTTTTTTTAAATTTTTTTGGAATGTACCCCCGGGTAAACAAGGATGGGGTTTTATTTACACCCGGTTAATTAACCAGTTTGATTGCAGGATCTTGCTGCAGAAGAAGTAAGTAATTATTATATCAATAAGGTCATTTGCGCATTTACAAATACATGATAAGGCCACACCAATTTGATTAATATTTCTTTGGATTTCCCCGCTCCTGTTTTGGAGAAATTGACTTTTCAATAAAAAAAAATAATTACCGCTTCCGCCAATTTTTGGGCCTCATGCCGCTCCAAAATTAGTTTATCCTTGACATTTTTTTTTCTCTTAGACGTTTTTCTCGTGTATATATTGCTCCGAGCGATTCAAACGCACGTGTGATAAATCGATTTGTAAATAAAACGTCAAAAATCGGGATGCCAACATGAAGTTGTGTCAGATCATTGCCGAGGACACGTAGTCATTAAACACACAGTTATTTGAAATGCATTTCGTTTTACCTGTTCTAGGAGACAAAAATAAAAAATCTTTCGTTAGATGACCACGATCACATCAGTACTTGTTAGAACCATTGTCATCCCCGATCATTGTTCAGTAGTCCGAGATTACTCCGACGTCCAACAGCTGTTTGCCAGACAAGATGGGGGCTGTTGCGGGGGCTGTTATTCCACGGCCCCAGCTTGTCTGGCAAAACAGCCGTTGGACGTCAGAGTAATCTCGGACTACAACAGACATAGATATCTAGAGCTATCTGTCTTGGATGAAATTAATATTAAATTCACATGAATTTTTGAAAAATGACAGATTTATCTTATTTTAATGAAAACTCCATATCCCCTTGTTAGTCTATTGACATGCAATCAGAACTCTTTTGTAAGGGAAAATTTAAGAGTTCCAACATTCGAGACCAAAGTGGTGGTATTGCGATTGGCATGCTAATAATAATTAGGGATGTATTATTGGTGCAACCACTTCCAGTTTGAAATACATTAATTACAGGTTTCAGGGGCAAAAGGAAAAAGTATTTTGCTAAGTCAGAATAATGCATGTGAATGTGGTTAAATGCATTTTAGGGAATAGATCTAGGAGAATGTGGTATGAGTGCCAATGAGACAACTCTCCATCCAGGTTACCATTTATAAAAGTAAACCATGATAGGGTCAAAGTACAGCATTCAACACGGAGCCTTGGCTCACACCGAACAGCAAGCTATAAAGGCCCCCCAAAAATTACTAGAGTAAAACCATTCAAACGGGAAAACCAGCGGTCTAATCTATATAAAAACGAGAAACACGTATGAACTACATAAACAGACGACAACTACTGTACATCAGATTCCTGACTTAGGACAGGTGCAAACATTTGCAGCGGGATTAAATGTTTTAATACATTGAGATCTGCTTGCATAGCAATATAATTATCTTACTCAGGATGTTGTTGAAATATCCACCTCACTCATTATGTTGATCCTATTATTGATAAATAGTTCCAACTGGATGTCAAGCAGCCAATAAACAATCATTACCATATAATGAAAACAACTATATCAAAAAAACTTAATATTTTTCATTGGCATTTTTTTGGAATACATACACATATTTTAATTGTATTCAACACATTTCATTTACCTAACTAACATAATTCCTCTTGCTAAACTGCATCTGATATGTTCCTTAATATAAACACATGTATGAATTTAAATAAAAATTCACGCAGTCAAAGCTTATTTGACGAAAATAATCAAAATTATACTAAACCAAAGCGAACCAAAAAGTTGGGTATGGTACAGACTGTACTACAGGCACAAATACATCAACTTCAATTATATGCATAAGAGCATGTTTATCCTCCTTTTTCTTTGAAGTAACCCAGTTTTAACATGTACAAATATTCTAAATCGCACAATTAAAAAATTATACCGCTCGCTCTACTTGTAGAGCACCCGCCTCAACAAAACTCATTTTCAAGAAATAAATACAATCAAAAAAAATTTCGCTCGCTCGCCCCATATTTTTTGGAGCTTTTGTCCGAGGAACTAAAAATCAAATTGGTGTGGCCTAAAAAGCAAAATTGTTGCCTCTGCAATAAGAACAATATAGTTCTAAGTTACAACATCGAAAAAGAGGCTAAAGATACAAAAGTGACATTCAAACTCATAAGTCAAAAATAAACTGACAAGGCCATGGCTAAAAATTAAAAATACAAACAGACAAAAAACAGTACACAAAACACAACATAGAAAACTTAAGACTGAGCAACACGAAAGGTATGAACAAAATAAAATCTAAATAAAAATTGTGTTAGTTTGAAATGATATAATACTTCAGTTGTTTCTAATATACATACATAGTCCTGTATATGTCTATGTCGTACTTATAATAAGATGAAGATGATGAGGAACAACATGGACTTGATGAATAACTGGAACAGCAGCCAAGTAGACAGTATTTGCTTCTCAGATTTGAATAATACGAATAATAGCTACTGTAGTAATAACATGTTTTACTATTGACAACTCCTGAAAAACAAATATTTATTTTTAATTAATATATTGTGTTCCTAAAAACAGGAAAAGATATATTAATGTTATATTATCATATACTTGTATAAAATATTACTAAAATTTTACAGTTCAATAACATTTAAAAATATTAAAAGGCTATGAAATGATTACTAGGTTTATTGATCAGATTCCTAAGAATTTCCTCAGCGGGCTGATAAAGGAACCTTTATTGACTGCTTCCGGAATGTTATCACATGCCTTTCCGTTAATTTCCGTGACGTTTATCACATGCAACGTTGTGCATTTCCGGAAATTTGTTCGAAAACGACAACACAGAGCGGAAAACCGCAAGTGATTTTTAAGACTTTTCACAAAATGGTTGAGGAGCATATTTTCAAACTAAGTTCATGATAACTGTTGTGACAAGATAAATAAAATGCTTGTAATATCAATAAAAATAATTAAAGTTAAGAAATTTGTATTTGATTGTCTGTAAATTATTATCTAAAAATTCATGGAAAGACAAAATTTTAATTAATAGTTCTTGTCTGTATTTCTTCTGTTGAAGCAGAGACATGTCTCTGGTTGAAGTATATGATAAAAAGATAATTACATGTCATTTATCATATCAGACCCTTTATCGGCCCTCGTTCATGATATCAGTCCTCGAGCCTACGGCTCTTGGGCTGATATCATGACCTAGGGTCGATAAAGGGTCTGATATGAAAAATGCCATGTAATAATCTATACTTATCAGTTGATTTAGTGTGATATTTCGTATTTGATATATGAGTAATCGATTAGAATTTTCTTTCTAAAACTGATTATATCTGAGCTGCATTGGACTAGTAAGTAATAATCTGGAAAAAAAAGAATCAAGCTCTTGAGCTTTGTAAGGATCTTCAATTAAAATGGTTGAAAAAGATGTATTTTTTTGTTGTTGGGTTACGGTGTCTTTACCGTATTCCTCTTCCTTTATTCATTAGTATTATGAATAAAATGAGAGGCGGGGTTGGTACCAATGAGACAGCAATTCCTACAATGATAAAAAAAAAATCAACTAAACGACATCTAGAGGTCATTATTGAAACGTTCCGAGGTTTTTAATTTAGGAGACTTATGTGGGCCTCCGGTGAAGGAAGTAATAATAAAAATCATAATGGAAGTTCATAAATTGTATTATTTTCTGCGTCAGTAATATGCAATACAACAAATACAGTCGTTCATAAAATATATAACATGAAATAAAATACATTAAAATATAATAAGTAATATAACGAGGTGCATTACTTGCAAAAAGTTTAATAAAACAATTCTTCTAGCGCTCGATACAAGAAAATCTAATACTCTGCATACTTGGTACAGGAAAATCTACTTGGGAAACTGTATTCTAATACTCTGCATACTTGGTGCAGAATAATCTACTTGGGACACTGTATTCAAAAACTCGGCATACTCGGTGCATGGTTGCGATTTACCCGAGCAAACAGTACGTCAGCTTTTTGATATAAAGACTTGGTTAATTATCAACTTCAAAGTCTATTAAATATTATCACCAAGCACTCTTACTTACTTAATGATAATAATAATATTTATTCAGGTAAAGGCAATATATAATACATAATAAGTTTTAGAAACTAAGTTAAATACAACCTTAGAGTGCCACGCTTTTTTTTTGAAATACCGTTGAGTGCCATGAGATAGGCCCTAGATTGGAAACTTGAACGAAAAACGTCATAAATGAAGCGTAACAATGCACAACGTCATGCAATTGTTTTCGTATAGAAGCAGTTCTGTTTCGACATCAGGCGTATGTCAGTTAGATTTCTTTAGGTGACGGGTACGTAAATGGACAATCAAACGGATTTTTATGAATTTTTGCAGGCAAGTTGATCCATTAGAGCCGCAAATAAATATTCAAAAAGTATGCAAGTTAGTTTTAGACATTCGGGAACAAAGCAATCTGCAGATTCTATAAAATGAAGTAAAAATATATATGTATTAGGATGCACGTAAATTCCACAAACACTAAAATAATTAGATAATTTGATTTTAAATTGACTTTTCTCAAAAACGTTCAACTTTAAATTTATATTTCATTGTCACTAAAATTTCTGTTTTATTAATATAAAATTTACAGGGCTACCGAATTTATTTTTGTTGTACCAATCCTTCAAATGTAAACGTTTTTTTGTCATAGCGCTGTCCGTTTCGCTTTGACTTGTATGTTTTGGGTGTCCTTTTTGATATCTTCTGCATCTTTTTTAAAGTCAAAGTTGCTGATTTTTTTTGGCGATATTTACATGTATTCTATTCTTTCGTGTACCTCAGATTTCCGGCTATTTAATTTGCTACACATATCGGAGAGTAAAAAGATATAAGAAGAAGTGGTATGAGTGCCAATGAGACAACTCTCCATCCAAGTCACAATTTGTAAAAATAAACCATTATAGGTCAAAGTACGGCCTTCAACACGGAGCTCACAAAGAACAACAAGCTATAAAGGGCCCCAAAAATGACTAGTGTAAAACCATTCAAACAGGAAAACCAACAGTCTAATCTACATAAAAAACGAGAAACGAGAAACACTTATGAACCACATCAACAAACGACAACCACTGAACATCAGGTTCCTGACTTAGGACGGGTGCAAGCAAATGCAGCGGGTTTAAACGTTATAATATGCACCAACCTTCACACTACATGAAACAATAGTGTAACATTACACCATAGAAAGACACACTATAAAATATCGATTAAAATAGCTTAACTCAATCAAAAAGACATATCAACAAAAACAAGTAAACATACACTGAACGAATAAATTTGATCTATGACACAATGTAAATACACAAATTAATAAAACAAGGAGGTTAGATGTAAAATAATATCAGAAAGACAACCATAACCGCCGCCGAATAAAATAACGTACACAAGTAAATAAAAATAATTTTGTTGTAAGGTATACATGGAGTACGGAAATAATTTTTACAAAATAAATAGTTTTGTACGGAACAGGACGCAACACGGATATCTGCATGTATCAAATTTGGAACGAAGACCACAGTGTAAACACAACTATGTAATCTACACAAATCCAAATTACGATAATATTAATATAAACTGTCAAACCACAGGGGCGTAACACTATAATGTCGTAAACAATAGACGGTATCTATACAGTATGTCAAGATTCTAAAAAGTTGTCAATGCATTTAACAGAAACAAAACAAGATCTGCGTACACCATTAAATTATCCGAATAATAAACATTAAGAATTGAAATATGGCACCCACTGAGCGAGTTTTTTTCTCTCAACTTTTAAAAGCAAACTCAGTTACTATAACTTTAATTAAAAAAGATGTTCCTTCTTGTAATAAATTTTCTTTTTCCTGTTAAAGCGCTTCCTTAAGAAATATCTGCATTGGCATCAGTTATTATTTTCTTTTTATCTCTACAAAAACTTTTTAATCGGTGCTGAAAAATCACTTTGTGGCACACTCTATTCAATGTTAAAAGTTTTAAACAGGAAATTATTCATATGAAAAGAATTTTTTATTTTTGTTGAAAAAGCAACATATTTAAGTAACGTCCTTTCTTCTTAATATAATATTAGGTGAAATCCTTTTTTTTTGTAATTCTTAATGCTATCTCAATCTCATTACGTTATTGTATGTACCGATTATTGGTTTGTCTGCATATTGATATTGTAAAATATCAGTGGCGAGTCACAATAGTAAGCTTTTTGTCGAGTGTTCAAAAAGACTTTATATTGTGTCGAGCAGCTGATATTTTACAATATAGATATGCAAACAACCAGGTAATCGATTTATCGTATTTGGCATGATAGAAACAAATGAAAACCGGAAGATGACGTGATAAGTTCGGATCAAACTTATCAACGTCGGTTCTTTCATTATGACATCGGTGATATGTCTGGGTCAAAGTTATAAAGGCCGAGTCAACGTATTTGACGTCACAAAGCCGTGATATGCAATTTTATTCAGAGCTGAGCAGTGTGATAGTCACCCATTTAAAAATAAAGGGATTAAGACCCCAAACTTCATGTAAATGTATGGATGATAATTGACCTGAAGGGTAGCTGGGTATCGACATATTGCTACCTCGATATCGCTCGTGCGACAGTTAATTGCGTTCGCGTTTCTAACATAAGAACTAATAACACAAATTAAGCAGCGAAACAATGTTTCGTTCGAGATAGAAAACCTATTGTAGTAAGGTTGTACGTCTGCCCGATATGAAATTCTTTCCAGTGGTCGTCAAAATAATGTTTCTCTTCTTTCGATTTTCTGAAAAATTCAGATCCTACGAAAAGACAGATAACTTTTTACTTTTGGTATAGTACTACATCCTTCGCATGCGTAAAATAGTTGCCTATGAATCAATAAACAAATTTTAAGATAGCAAAATCGTTCTAATCATGCACAAAGGGATCTTGCGTTGTCTATCACGATGCCTTTTTTACGTTGGTAGTCAAGTACTATTCTGCAAATTATTAAATCTTCTTTACAAATATCTTTTTGTCAGTTCTCACACAAACGTCTTTATCAAATCTCAATTCCAAATTATATACGCACAATTCCTCGCACGTATGAAATTTCTATAAATTTGATCAATATTATTCCGATAAAGTTTAAGCTATTCCGAATTAAAAAGATATGCAACTTACTACTATTCACAGTATAATGGTCGTGTTACAAAGTTGTATAAGCGACAAAACATACAACTCTCAAAACCCAGTTGTGGTTTATCTATCTAATAGATTTTTTACATAAAACGCCGTGAAATTCACAAGACGTTAATTCAATCATCTTAAATTTACATTTGGATTAAGTTTTTATGTCTATCAATTTTTGTTTCTATATTTAATGTAAATATTGTAAAAAAAACATAGTATTCCTACTAAAGAACTTAACAATGTTAACCTTTGTCGTATCATTTTTTCACATGCAGGCTATCTGGGAAACACTGCAGTGCTATACTTTAACAGATTTTTTATTCACAATCCCGCTTTTTTTGAAAATCATGTTCTTAATTCCGTAAAAAATCTGTTTACAAAACAATTATCTTAATAAATACATATATGTAATTGCAAGTAAACATTTTCGGATTTGCTCACTTCAAAACAAAATATGTTGAAAATGCATGATTTGTCAGTGCCAATGTTGAACACAAAGTTATAGAAAATATTGTAATGATGAAAAATGGACGGAGGCAGCATGAGAACTCTTTAAGCCATCAAACATATATTACTATAAGCTTAGAATGTGACCAAATGTTCTTTATTCTAAAAAGGGTAAGTCATGTACCTGCCGAATATTTATTAGGTCTAGTTCTATCAGCCCTGAAATTTTCAGATGAATCTAACAACCCATTGTTGGGTTGCTGTCACTAAATTGGTTATTTTAAGGAAATTTTGCAGTTTTTTGTTATTATCTTGAATATTATTATAGATAAAGATAAACTGTAAACAGCAAAAATGTTCAGCAAAGTAAAATCTACAAATAAGTTTCATATGACCAAAATTGTCAATTGACCCCTTAAGGAGTTGTTGCCCTTTAAGGACAATTTCACATAATTTGTTTATCATGTTTTCTAACTTTAAAAAATCTTCTCCTCTGAAACTACTAAACCAAATTAACCCAAACTTAAGCTTAATGATTCTTAGATTATCTAGAATAAAGTTTGTGTTTTATTTTCTGTTTCCTCAGAAAACATGGCCGCCATGGCTAAAAATAGAACATAGAGTAAAATGTAGCTTTTAACTTATATCTCAAAAACTAAAGCATTTAGAGCAAATCAGACAAGAAGTTAAAGTATTCATTATGTCAAGGTCTACCTGCCTTGAAATTATCAGCCAAATCGGGTATCTGATTTGTAGGTTATTGTCCCTGAATTGATGATTTTAAGGGAATTTTGCAGTTTTCGGTTATTATCTTGAATATTATTATAGATAAAGATAAACTGTAAACAGCAAAAATGTTCAGCAAAGTAAGATGTACAAATTAGTTTTATGACCAAAATTGTCAATTGACCCTTTAAGGAGTTATTGCCCTTTAAAGACAATTTTTCACAATTTGTTCATCTAGTTTGCTTACTTTAAAAAATCTTCTCCTTTGAAACTGATGAATCAATTTCAGCCAAACTTGAGCTGAATGAGTTTCAGAGTATCTAGTATAAATTTTGTGTTTATTTCCTTGTACGCCAAGAAACATAGCCACTATGGCTAAAATGGAACAAAGGGATAAAATGCATTTTTTTTTGCTTTTGAAGAAAACATGACAGATACAAAGAACATTTAAATGGCATTTTTAAGCCACTCATTAATATATATTGAAAAGAAAAAAATATCATTAATGAAAGATTTAAGCAAACATTACAGGTGAGCGATTCAGGCTCTTGAGAGTCTCTTTTTAAAAATCATATTACACGTTTAATTATCCATTAAAGTAATATAACAAGTAAGGTTAAATAAAAACATCAGACACGAATAGCGTTTGTATACAAATATAAAATAGTCTGAGCTTGAAATTAAAAAATAAATTACATTTTTTTTAGATAAAAAAAGCATACAAACCTATGATTTGTAATAAAAACAAGTATCCGAACATGTTGCCGGTTGGTAAAATTATGTTTGCATTAGTACCTTTTCGCTTTGTTTTTACAATTTAACAAACTTATTATATCTTTCCAATAAGAAGTTTCTTCCTTCTACGTATACACTTTATGGGCGGTGATTTCCTTAGGAAATAAGAATGTAAAACCCATGATTTTTGTGAAATAATATCAGATGCTTGTTACAGTTCTGTATGTTTTGTTTCAAAAGTTTACAATCTTTACGTAGATTGAATGAAGATTTTGAGGTGGTGCAGCATTTAAAGTAAAGCCCTATTCAGCTTAGCTAGCTCTGACTCTACTTTATGAATATAATAAATAACATTTAAACAACGTTTGTCAGTGATAATGCTCTGTTATTTTATCTTCTGAAGAAATTTGAACAAAACAAAACAGACAAAAGCATTGCCAAAAAAGAAAAAAAAAACAGACAAAAACATTGCCAAAAACTAAAATCAGACAAAAGCATTGCCAAAAAAAGAAAAAAAAACAGACAATACCTGCGTTGTGTAAAAATACCTATATGAATTAGAATAATAATAAAAAAATAAAAAAGATAATGAAAAAGATAAATATTGAAAGAAAGAAAGAAAGAAACAAACAAACAAACAATAAAAAAAAGTTCTAGAGATAGAACTGTGATACTAGTAATCTATTCTATGGTAGAACTGTCCAAACTGTTCTAAGAAAGAACCAAAAAATCAGATTTGTATAAAACTGTTCATTGGTAGAACAGTTTCTATCAGAAACTGTTATGTAGGTGTCAGAACTGTTCTAGATAATCTTGACATATAGACGCCTGTAATTCGGTATATCGAGAAAAATCATCGTGAAAGAATAAATATAGGTGGTCAACCATTGCGATCGGATCTTGTAAGGTCTGGTAACGAATCGTGAATGCAATCAAATAGAAATCAACTTCAAAATCGGTGAAAATATCCATTGTATTATCAAAAGCCGGAAACAATCCGGTAAAGGGAAGGTTGGGCGCCTGCAAACATCGTAAACCTTGCCACTCTATGTATGTGCCCGTTCCAAGTCAGGAGCCTGTAATTCAGTGGTTGTCAGTCGTTGCTTTATATCATATTTCCCATTCGTCTATTGTTTTGTACACAAATCAGGCCGTTGGTTTTCTCTTTTGAACTAGTTTACATTTTGTCATACCGGATCTTTTAAAGCTTACTTATACTGTAGAATGCTCACATCGTTTTCTTTGGTCTATTAATACTTTTTTAATTTGCAATCATTCCAAATCTCCCTATTTTAAAATTGTTTCAAAATGTACATATATTGAACTATTTCGATATCACAAACTGTCAAAACTTTTACTAAATTTCTTCATCGGTACAAGGACATCATTCGTAAATATGAATCAATGTGTAGACAGTGGGTGTTTTATGTTCCCTCCTCCGCCTTTTATTATTATTTACAGCTAGAAGAGAGGACAAACACAAATCAATTGTTGTTGTCATAAACATGAATGAAAAAGAGTTATGATGTTTCCATGTGTAAATAAATACAGTACTAGAATGAACTCAAAAAGGGTTCGAGACTGGTTATGTCAACAGGGCAACCGTTCCCTGCAATGCAGACGTTATCCTTCATGGAACTCGACACTCAGACAATAATGTTACGATATGAAAAAGGACATACTTTTGATAGACAAATGTTCAGATCAGACGACTATTCTCGTGTCTAAAAATGGGCCCCAAAAATGGAGAACCATGTTTCTACACATCGTATCTGTCAATTGTAAGACTTGTAAAGTGTCGATTGCAGTTGATATTCTTCATAACACTGCTATACGAGTTTAAGATAGAGAAAAGTCCGTTTAACATGCGTATTTATGTGCGCAACGTATCAATTGAGATGAATAAACGACTTTTACTGGGACAAATTGTATTATAGTATTTTACTCGTGTGCAGATGAAGAAGACAATTACATGTAAGGAGGGTTAATTTTCATTGACATACCTCTATTTTCAGTTCATGACAATGTTTGCTCATTGGATTCAATAACAAAGGTAAAATAACAAAAAATATATATTGTAATAATTGTCAATGTATAATACAATATGTTGCAATCAAATTATATAATCTTAATATTTTAGATGACAATACATGTAATACTAAATTAGAAATACAAATTTATTCAGAAAACATTACAAAACTTATTATGCTTTCAAATAAATAAAGAATAATATCCTGTATCAACTATGTTTTTACGTTCATAGCATTTTGGATTTTTTTTTTCACATTGTCATGAGCAAGATTGTCGTAGCTTGGAGGATAAGCTGTATTTCCATAATTTGCTGGAATAACATTAAGTTGTTCAGTTCTGCCCAAATATGTTAATATTACTTCCAAATTGGGACTGGAAAGCAGTTTGAGGGTATAAAAATACAGCAATTTATAATTAATGGTTGTCATAAATGAAAGTCTGACTTGAAAAATCACATTAAATAATTTGTGGCCGATATAAGATAAAGGTCTTTCTTTCAACTTTGCTATACGCAACATAACACGATAACAAATTTAACAGCACATACACAACTGTATGTTTTGAACACAGTACATTTTGAAAATTCGGAAGATGTTGATAACACATTAAAGCCTTTTTCAAAAGGCGCATTAAATTTTCATACAATGGTATTTGTATTACTAGTAGATATTTTTGGTTGAACAATTAGATTCTTGGATGTTTCGTGTTGATTGTATTCACAACCTCAAATGCTGGTTGATTCAAAGAATTACATATTAAATTTATGAGGACGCTTGTGAAATTCGTGTGTAACATCTAGTCTTTTAACTTACTAAAGGTTAAAGGTTGTTGCTTGTTGTCTTTAAAATATTGTTAGCCCAACAACCCGTTCGATTCACAAGAAGGCAAGCAAAATTCTGTACATCGTTTCAATTCCAATCAGAGCTTAGATTTTAAATTATACGCTCTTTTATCCTTTCGGTGTAATTACTTCACAAACAAATGTAACATTTATTATGTATTCAAACTGTTATCTTACATGCAGCAGGTACAGCGCCGCCAGCAGAAGTCACGTATGCAACAGCAGGTGGAGATAAAACCTGACCTTGCCCGCCTCCTTGAGCTCTCATTTTTTTGCACATGAAGGAGATGATCGGAACGAAGATAGATAAAGCGACGAGACTACCAACAACTGACCCGATGGTTCCAGCTGTTGACCTATGAAATGAGGGAAATTTTTGATATATCAGAAACCTATTATGATTATAAATAAAATAACTTAACATGCAAAACAAAAATAATGATATGGTCTGTATTACTAGTATACACTTTTCTCTTCTAATTTTGATCGCTTATTTTGGTACATGTATGGTATATATACGGGGGTCCAGTACAGGGTATAAATTTTAGGTCACAGGGTCACGCGCAAGTTTAAAAAAAATGAATCACCAGGACTCAATGAATATATATTTTCATTAACAAGTATTCTTTCATTTCTAATTTTACCATAATGTTTACATTAGCAATTGTAAATGTAAAAACAAGCTGGTCAAACCGATGTGTTTGGTCCTTCCGTTTTACGTCCTAGGAGTGTAAGTACTATTAAACTTGGAGGTTAACAAAGGAAACATTGAGTTAATGGTCCTCCAAGCAAACAAACTGAACATCATTATGCCAAGTACACACTCGTGTATATATGCCGTACAAAGTAACCAAGTATAAAATTTGTCAAAAGATTATTTAATTTACCAACAGCTTTATTTTAATTTCTTTGATCTTTAGTTTAAATAAGATAATTACATTTGGTCTGATTAAACAGTTACAAACATAAAATTGGATGTTTGGACGGATGCTTTAGGTATTTAAAGGTTACTGGCTTTTGAAGTCTACACTACACTTCCAAACAATCTTAGATAAAAGAATTTTTCTTTTTAAAAGAATGGTTCTTTGTAAAATCCGACTGCAAATTAATTTGCTACAATTCATACAAAGCCTTTTTCTGTAACGAAAAGGTTAATATAATAGATATACTAAATGAAAGTTGGATGAGAAACTTTGTAATTAAAGCTGTAAATTTTATCCTTGACAAGATGTATGAACGTTTCGGTATTACAGGTTTATCCACAATTTGTGTGTATTCCAGTGGGTACCAACTGCGCCCCTTCAATAGTACACTGCTCCGGTATTAATATGATTAACAGTTTAGGGTCAACTCAGTAAAGATCCGTCTCAATTCAATGTAATTCATTAATTTAACAACACTAGGTTTTGTGTTAAATAATAATAAATTCTCTAAATATGCTGCCGAAATTTACCCAATGGAAAACTTTAGATAAATCTAGTATAAACAGAAATAATTGTGCTTTCCTAGATTAAGATATCTCAATATCACACGCAAAACCGTATACAAACAATTACTTCTGTGGTTTACATATTGTAATGTACTATTATATTATTTATTTATGTATTTCTCTGTCCTGAGTGCTCTTGCGTTTATTTATACTGTATTCCTGTCACGTAATGTTGTCATTATAGCGTTATTTTTTTACATTGCCATATAAGCGGGAGGTTTGACTAGCCATAAAACCAGGATCAATGTACCATTTTTTCTTAAAATGTCCTGTACCAAGTCAGGAATACGGCAGTTGTTATCAAATAGTCCGTTTCTATGTATGTTGGCGTTTGTTTTTGTAGCAGTTCAGTGTTTATATTGTTCCGTTGTTTAACTCTTATAGTTGGTGTGTTTTCCTCGATTATTGTTTGTGACACGGATTTGTTTCAGTTAAATCGATTAATAATACTATTGCCTTTAAAAATGTTAATATATCCGAACTATTTCACTATGCTCGTTTCTGAACGTTATCTAAGTATCACTGGCAAATTATTAAGAACATTCGATACAGTTTGACGTTGTATTGTCATTTTTATAATTTTGAAATATGTTGTAGGCCTAGGCGAGTTGTAAAAAAAATCAGAAAATAAAACATAGGTCACCGTGCTAGTTTTCGACATAATTTTCATGCTTTCTCAAAATAGCAAATACAAAATATATGTCACCGTGCTGGATTACGAGATAAAACGGAATAAATCCCCAAAAC